TCTGTTCATTGTCAGGGCTCAAGAATACAAATAAACAAAGATAAATAGATTACAGATTATTCCTAACTCCTCTCTCATACATACACGCATCTGACAATGTTTCTAAGAAATTCCATTACATTGGAATTACGTTTGGACATTCTGAATTATAAAATAAAAACAAAAGTAAGAGCAATATAATTTCCAGTTCACATAGTTTTCCAAATGGGACCCTGTAAAAAATAAGCAGGGCTTGAGGGAAGGTTTAAAGTTTCAAATACAGAGTTATAAAGGTTTGTTTCAACTGATTAGAAGTGCTCTTTGATAAATTAAGTGCCCTTTGATAAATTAGAAAATTTTACTTATATAAAAATGAAGAAAGTTAAATAAAAAGGAGAGTAAGGATAGACAGCATAGAAAAAGGCTTCTTGGGAAATGATATCCCTTTTCAGATGAGTTCAGCATCAACTGAGTCAAAATCAGATGATGAATCTCAGAACTTACCAGAAATGCTTCCTTTAACCCAAACACCTAAAACCATACATACTTTAATGAACTCTTTAAAAATACTTGTCAATGATTATTTTATTATGCCTTAATAATTGCCTAACACAATGTGCTCTTTTCCATTAATTTAAATGACTAAGTTCACTCAGAGTCAAGGCCTGGCCAGTATCACCTTGATGTCTTATGCAAAATGGGGACCAAGAAGAATTTATGTATTACCCACCACTCATACATGGGATTGATTACTACATGTTAAGATTCATCTTTTAACAAGGAAAAACAAACAAAACTATGTTATGATCCAGCGACCTCACCACTGAGCTTATATCCAAAATGAACAGAACACCCGTGGGCATTGCAGCACTGTTCATAGCAGCCAAGATGTGTAACCAAGCCAGGCGTCCACAGTGAGTGAATGGATGAAGAAAACATGGCATATACACAGTGGAACACAACCCAGCTCGAAAAGGAGATGGAAATCCTGCCATTTGTGACAATGTGGATAAACTTGAAGAGAATGTTGTTAAGGGAAGCAGGTACAGAAACAGAAAAGCTGTCGGACTTCACTCACAGGTGGCATGTAAAAACATAGAAGCCACAGCAGCATGGACAGAAGTGCTCTGTGCTTCAGAAATTTCTATGATTCTACAAAGTAGTATTATTTTCATCATCTCCTTTGACCCTCCTCATTTCACTTTGATAGTGTCTCATGTATATTTAACAGCAGTGAAAACCTAGACCCAGGCAGGTCAAAACCTGTTTACAATCTTGCAACCAATTGTGCCAAAATAGCACAGATCAATAGCACTGAAATAGTAAGACTTCGTTCTCAAAGTCACTGTGGGAACACATTTTTAACCACCAAAGAATAAAAATTATAAAAGCATATTTTATAATACAAATAAGTTTCTTTTAAAATTAATTAATGGATTTTTAAAAATCCCATTGGGCCATAAAAAAGACTATGTAATTTATTTCTATTGTAAATTAAAATGTTAATTTATACAGCACTCCCTGAGTATCCAGCAATATTTGGTAATTATTAAAGACAAAATGAAATATTTCTAATGGAATTAATATTTAACTCAATATTTATGTTTAAAAATAATTGGTTGCCATAATTAAGTAGAAGGCAAACTAAAAATATAACTCCAACTGAAGTTGGAGAAATTGTTTTGGAACGTTCATGCCATCAATTCTAACAAATATCACAAGAGCCAATATCTACAACGTGTGCTTCTAGAAGGGAAGTTGGAGGCAGGGAGCAGAGGGACTGTAATAGGGACTCAGAGGACTACCCAGTGACCAATAGCGAAACTGAATATGTACTCAGTCACAGTTGAGATGTACTCCAAAGTGCACTCAAATAGCAAAAGTAATTTCCAAGAAAACACAATGTTCATATTGTCACATACTTTTTGATGAGTTGGTCCAAAAGGGGTCTGATTACCAGATGGTAAAAATCTCTGGGGTTTTATGTCTGTAGAAATAGAGTGAGAATGTCTCAAACGACACATTGGTGGGAAGCTGAAAGAATTCTATTTTTTCCTTGAAGAAATGAATCCTGGTGGTACTTGGGCTAAAACCTAGAGACTGTCTGGGTCCTGACCACCCGCGTGGCCAGTGGCCTTCTCCTGACCTGTTACTAGACGGTCTCTAATAGGCTGACACATGGAGGAGAGCCCATCTGACATCACAGGTCCTGATACCCTCCCCTCAACAACCACATTCTCTAATCCGTCCCTCACCACACTCAAATGGAGACAATGTGGCTTTGTCATCACCAGAAAGCAACTCACTGGTGTCTTGACTTCAAACATTCCGTTGTCACAGATGGTGCTATCCTTCAGATAATTTACTCCTGCAGCCCTAATCCCATCATTATCAGAACTCAATAGAAGTTTTATTTAAGTGAATCCATCCCTTCTCCTCTCCATGAGGTCAGTGCTCTCCTTTCTCACCCAGCTTATCATTCTTATCTTCTTTGCCCATTCTGCACCTGTTACTCTGACGGACAAAATGCCCGTTGCTGAAGGCAATTATCCACCCTTTCTAGGTGACCTGTATTTGTGTTTCACTTTGAGTGTGAACCATGAACTTCAGCCACTGAACACTGCTATATCAGGTTGTTCTGTTCTACTTTCCAAAAGGACTGTTGCATATTTTTTCTCTTGTCCCAAATCACACATCCTTGTTTTTCCCCTTTGCTACTAGTCATACCTTCCTGGTTTCTTTTGCTGGCTCCTGATCCAGTAGCTACTTTCTGTTTATTGGAGAATCCGTCCTGGCTGTTCTGTTCTCTGTGTAGCTGCTTCATCCACTCACACAGCCGCGGACTGCCCTCCTCACATCCCCACCCTGCACAACTGCTCTGAGGTCCAGATCTGCGTGCTCTCCTGCCTCCCTGGCGTTGCTAGCTAGGCTACTGTGTTCACAGGAGATGACTGCTCAAGCCTCTTGAGATTCCACTGCTTTTTCTCCTCTTTGTGCTTTTATGAACTTCCTGGAATCTCACTGGGACTTTCAGAAACTTATCAAGTTCTAACAGCACATGGATGGTCCCAGGCACAGCTAGAGGATGAGCTCTGGCAGCAACTATGGTGATCGGATGAGTCATGTCATACCAACCGCTAAACGTCTTGAACGTCATCTTTGACTATGGGCACAAAGAGGATCCTCCTCCATTCTCTTTTTCCTCCAAACCTGGTTGGTTCTCCCCAGTGATTTTGCTCCTCTCCTAGTGCGTTACAACTATGTACCCTAGTTTGAGACAAGGAAGTTGTCCTCGATATCTCCTTACTCTAAGTCTCTAAATTTACATATTAGCAACTTGTTTGATCTACTTCTAAGCCCTGTTTCCAAACTACTCACTTATTTTTGTGTGCACTAAATCTTACACCAAATCAAGACTTTCTTTCTCTGTGGAACTAGCTCCCTAAATTCCCTCCCATTCTGGTTATCCTCTCCCAAGTTATTCTCCATGAAGCACTCCAAGTGTCTGTTTTTAACCACAATGCAAGTTTCTTAATACATTTCTCTCTTTTTAAAGGACTTCATGGTTTTCCATTGAATGTGTAATAAAACTCAAACTTCTTACTTTAGACATATTTTCAATTTCTTGTACCTATGGCAGCAATGAGAGCAAAACCCAAATATCCCATCTCAATTGCTCCAGATATGATTGCTTTCAGATATTGGAAGCTAAAACAAGAACTATGTGCCTATATCTACCCTGAACCTCACCTAGATTTCCCTGTCTCCAAATGCACTTAATATCTCAGCAGTAGAAAGTGAGCCACCCGCCCACAAATACCAAGTCTATGTCCTTCCCTGAATGTTTGGAGTTGAAGGGCGGGGGGGGGGGAGTTTGGTGTATGATTTATTTTCACAAGAGGAGGAGAATGTTATTGTAAAAAGTTTTAGAAGAGGAAGCTACATCCAGAAAGCACTGAATTTAGAAACTAGAAGTCCTTATTATAAATGGCTTATACCCTCCCAGCAGGATGAAAGAAGATTCAGTTTTTATAAAGGAGTAAAATGATAGAAGAAAAATTGATTGAGATGAAAATGTGAGAGAGTATGATTCCAAGACCAGTTTGTGTATTTATATGTGTATATATACGTTCATGCGTATCTATTTATCTATATGACAGATGGTCTACTTTATTCATTTCACACAACCCGTAAAAGGCAGATGGAGAAAAGGAGGAAGAAAGCTTATGACATGCAGCACATATTATAAGTTTTTTGTTTTTCCAAATACTTCAAGTGAAAAAAAATTAATTACTGTGGGAGTTCTATGTTTGGGATTGGGGTCTACAAACTCATAATTGTGACGTGCTTGGTGACAAGGAAGTTTCTGTGCAAAGACACAGATGCCTGACTGCTGGGAGATACCTGGCAACTGGAAAACTCCTGTGCAAAAGCAGGGATGCCTGGCTGCCATAGCATGTCCCTCACAGGTGTACCCTGCTTCCCAGACCTGGGACGCCCAGGCTCCTCCCTCTAAGGTAATAAGACACTGTCTGGTCTCCATGGAAATGCCCTTGGAGGATAGGAGCCCCATGTGTATTCTAACCTGGACCTTATCTCAGCTCCTTAGCCCTGGGGTTAAAGGAATACTAATTAGAATACAGTCATGGTCCCTGGAGGGATGAGTTCTTTGAGTGAATAAACTCCCAGGCAGGAAGGAGCAATTCTTCATGTGCACTTCTTCTTCCCCCCTTCACTCTGCCCGCTCCATCCTGTCTGCCTGCCTGCCCTTTGTGTGTCTGTGTCTGGTCATTGTGTGCCTCCTCACAGGTCTCCCACCCAGGTGTTCCTCCACAGGTGTTCCTTCACAGATCACTGGCTACTCATTGAGCACAAGCCCTGAACTACCATGAGTTCTTTGTAAATGTTTGTTTAGTGCTTAATTTAATCACAAAGACCAAGGACAGGCAAGTATTTGAAAAGCGCCTTAACTGAAAGTTTATAGCTTTGTGTAGTATTCTGCTATATAGCACCCAAGAAAATGAATTTGATCCTCCTTTATTTTGAGCAATTGCTTATTTTCTAAGCTATAAAGTAAACGGATCTTGAATTCCTGCCCAGTTATGTGTTGAGGCTAATCCAGGATGGGCTTTCTGATTGTGGAGTCAAGTGTCTCCAGAAGTCCCTCATCAGACTGAATCATCACCCTGGGAGGAGGGGCCCCTCTCAGATCTAGCTATCAGGGTGAGCACAAAAATTCTACCGAATACTGACAACGGTCATTTGAAAAGCTTTAGGATCTGGTCTAAAGTGGGGGGCATAAGCATGGTCTCCTCCACTCCAGGTGATCAATCTCCAGTATCTGATATCGGGGTGTGTTTGAGCAGTCATTAGGCCAGATATGCAGTTTGTGATCTGAGTGGTTGGTGAGGTGGGTAGCAAGGTCAGGGGAGTTTTGCAGAACTTGTCTGTTGAGACAGAGAGCTCCTTCTTTCAAACCTAATTGGAGGACACTCTCACATGGTGTTGTGTCCCAAGAACGACAATGAACATAGAAGGAAAGTCAAACAGCTCCATTGCCTGGTGCCTCTCCACTGAAGCTCAGCAGGCCACGGGGGTGAGCTAAGGGTTGCTGCTTCTTCATCGTCTCTCTGGACTCGCTCCTCAAGGCCTAGGGTTCGCCTCTCCAGTTATACGTGTGATCTTATTCCACTCTCTGTGCCCCTCCTCTCTCTTCATCTGATTTTCCAAATTTTGGTGGTTTCATTGAGCGGAGGGTTCGATTCTGTACATTGAAATTGAGACTGATGGATAAATTGTGGAAAAAAAAATCATAAGAAGAAATGTACAAATAGTTTAAAACAAAAATTGAGTAGTAGCATCTAACATAAGATTCACTGTCCATTACCAAACAAATCTTTGAGCCAAAGTCTAAAGACTGCTAAGAAATATTTTAGGCTGGAGTAGAAACTGGAATGGTTTAAACTACTGAACAATTTAAAATAAAAATAATTTGAAGGATGGGTGAGAGAGAGAGGTTAAAATTTAAAAAAGCAGAAACACCAGTTTCAATTAGGCGAAACTGATTAGACAAAATCTTTGATCTTGGAAAGACTAATCCTGGGTGCTTTAAGACGGATCCTAGAGCTCATATCTAACTTCACTTTGAATTAGCTTCAGCAGTTAATCTACCCGTCACTCACCGTTCTGACTGGCAGCAGGCCTTCTACTCAAGCACAGACTGGGTTTCCACAAGCCCTTCTGGGTCCTTTCTCTCTGTACAGCACATTTGGAGCCACTGAATGATCTGAATTGTTTCCCCCCTTGTCATGCCGTCTGCCGTGCTGATGTGAACAGAATCTTAACTCATATCACAGAGGACCATCATTATCACATCAGTATTGCTTCTTATAGAGTAATCTATAGAAAACCCCCACTTTTAGTATGTTCCCAGTTCTGTACAGGCATAGCTCAAAAGTTTATAGCATCCATGGTGTTTTTTTTACAGAAATTGTTTTGTCATGAATTAAAATATCATCTAATACTTTCTTGATGAGTCACAGAAATAGAATCTGGTTTTTTTTTTTTTGATGGCTTAAAAAATGTAGAAGTTCTATATTTTGCCAAAATGGAACAAAGTCTGAAATTCTGGGAAGCATCCTAAAGTCAGTACATGATATCACTATATGTATGTGTGTGGTACCTGTAAATATATGTGAATATAAAATGTGTGTGGATTTTTGGTTCTCACCATGTTATAGAGTTCTTAAATCATAGTTTCTTTTTCTCTTATTATTTCCTCCTGAAACAGAAGATCAAGAGACACAAAGTACAGGTTGGGCCTTGTCTGACTATCAGCTTTGGCCTCCTCCGTATGTGCAGTGAAGGGCTATGGAACAGAAGGAGGGATGGACGGTGTGGTCAGCCTGTGTTTTGCCATCTTTGGGATGGATTAAAAGCAATGGGTAGATAGACCCAAAATTGTGTTTGGGAAGCTAACTCATTTACTAAGAGATCATATGGGTTTGAATATGGCGGCCATGGAAAGACAGATGTGTGTGTGAGGGAATTAGTGAAGGAGAAGGCAAGTAACCAGATATTGGGAAGAAATACAAATTGAAAAAATTAAAAGGAAAAAACCTTTCGAGACAGCACTCCTGCAATAAGGTGCTGCCTGAAGTATGGACAGGAGGTTAGGGGACGCTGTGTTTGTTGGGTTAGCTGTGCCGCAGGAGCACCTGCGAGAAGATGGTCAGAGGCTGGAGGACAAAGGACCCTCCCCTGTTTTAGATGCCATCAGTTCCCAAGCCTGCTATGGATTCCCTGGAAGTGCAGAGTACTTTACGTAATTCTGTGTTATTTCCTGGTTATCAAACTGTACTTAAAACACATCTTTTCCATGTATACTGCCCAGTTCTCTATGAAGCAATGGAGCCCCTAAGAAATGGTAACTGCCGGGGGGGGGGGTTACAGCTACAGAACTCCCCCAGCTCCTGCTGCAGTCACCAGCAGGGGGTTGGTCCCCTCACTTGCTGGGATGCAGTGTCCCACCTGTCACATGCATGCCCACCCCCACTTTACTTCCCCTCATTTGTTTACCTCTGAAATATGAAAGAAATCACTGCCTACCTCAAAAAATCCACAGGTGAATGACAGTCCAATTTTTGGCTACAGACCAGCAGTTTATGAAGATATCTGTCGTAATTAATTGCATGTCATAAGGAAGCCACCCTGACAATACAGGTGTTATTGGGTCTGCCCTTTCAGGCACAGGGATGGAAGGAGCTCTTGCATTTGAGTTCAATATTAAAGGACAAAATATGTCCTGAACTCATTTTATTTTAGATCTTGGCTTCAAGGCATCTCAATAGTCCTATTTTTTTTTCTGTCAGAATTTCTCAACTGGAAACTTGATTTTTAAAAAAGTTATAACTCTCTTTGTGACTATGCATAATCACTTGAATAATCACATATCTCATGATGCTTATGATGACACAAATGGAGAAATTGTAACACTAGAAATACAAATGACTGAAAAATATTTGGTCCAATTAAACATTAACATTGAAATCAAAAGGTAAGTAAATATATGGCAATGATTATACTAAATGACAGAATGAGTTTCAGAATCAATATATTTATTAACCAATATTTTAAAGGGGAAGGGCATGCATAATTCATCATTCTCTAGTTATCATTCAGTCAATCAACTCAATGATGCCCTACAGAGATTTTTCCCCTTTCTTTGACATTTTTAAAGTTAAATATTGCCCATTTGGAATAAATTTGATTTAGGTAACCTTTTATGGAGCATAGGAACATAGGATGCTATAAATGTCAAGGAAAGAATAAACCTTTGTCTCTTTACTCGGATGTAAAAAAATAAAGCTGTTATTGGTACACATTAGTGGAAAAATCTGCTTATCTTCAAAATTATCAATTGAGAATAGCATCATTAAGAAAAGCAATAAAAACAGAAATTAAAATGAACTAATATTAGTAAAGATCATATGCAAAGGAGCAGAGATATCATGTTAATCACCTCTGGATTCCCTACAGTGTCTGGCCTAATGTCTTGAAAATTCCGGGAACTTAATAATGGTATCTTGAATGAGTGGCATTTTGAGTTATTTAATTGCAGGTATTCCCATTTTTGCCAAGGAATGTATTTCACTGGCAAGTTTATGATCATAATGCAATACCCAATGTGTAAGGAATAGGCAAATCGGATAAATGATGCTTGACTCAGTTTCTTGATTCGATTTTAATCAGAAACTGGTTAGCCCATGTGACCATTTCTCTAAGCTCCAACCTCCGACAGTTTACATGGAATGTACCACACACGAAGGTGGAGGAGGCAGGAATAAAACTGTTCCATGGATTACAACCAAACTAAGTCAACTACACGATTCAAGCCTCAAAGACCCATTTACTTACTCATTGAATCTACTAGTTAGGAGAAGAGAAATTAATGTCAGTAGCATTCCATAACAAGCAGTCCGCTTAACACAGGTAGCCCTGTTTTTTTTGTTCATCTGTGCAGCTGAAGCTGACTGACTCAAGTGCTCTGTTTTGATTTCCTTTGCAGGCGGTTGTGTTTATCATGTTTTCATTAGTTTACTTTCTTGTTAAGTAGAGCTTCAAATTCATGCAAAGGCTGTGATTCAAAAAAATAGACTTAGCCACCTTCTATCTGTTCATCTTCGTAAGCCAAGATGGTTTCATTTGTATAAACACAGTGATCAGAACCCCAATTTACACATGTACACAGCAGAGCGATGCATGTATTTTCCTTTTACTACCATTTGACATCAAGGCACACTGGGTGTAGTCATTTGAAAGAGTGAGAATAATCTCCCCTGACTGATACACTGATTTGATTTTGCAAAGGCACTAATTTTCCTTGTTGTTCATCTAACCAGGTACCCATTGCATCCTATCTGATACAGAATGCTGACTACATTCCTGAATACTCTTTCTTGCTGGAGTCAATATTTATACAAGAGCTTTAAGAAAGGGAATGAACTAAATTTCAATCTTATAACTTATTTGTAATAGTCTGTCGAAAAAAATGTCAAATGCATTAAAATTATTTTCTCAGTAACAGAAAAAATATACTCATTTCCAGAACATATCTTTCAATTTAAAACATGTAAAGCTTTCATTTTTTCCAATTTTAGCAATGAAAAAAATAACTCCAATATAATGGAAATGTAGCTCTAAACATCTATGATATTTAAATCTTCCAAGTCTTCACATGTACTTTGTTCTTTTTCAGTAGAGCATAAACTGCTCAGACATTTTAGAAATGAACTTAAATCAAACATAACCTTTACCATCTGGGAATATTATGAAGGTTATAAATACATATATGCCAAAGGGAATTTAAGGAAAAATTAGGCAATTAGTAACTTTCCTCATGTCTGAATTAATTAGGGAAAAAACCCCATATTTATCATAGCAACAAACTTCCATTTGAAACTGTCTGTTACAGAGATATTAAAATAATATCAATAACTCCCGTGTATGATTTTTAATGTCTACCTTTGACATTATAGGCAGGTGTTACTTGAAATATTTTAAAATCTTGTATTACACATACAGTTTGGGTTTGCAGTCCGTTTTATAATTGTGTCATCTAATCAGGAAAGTAATCATGAGTATAAATGATAGAGAAAAATCAACTTCATCATCAAAAATTTTGCATTTAATATTGGAGGTGGAGCATTATGTCATCTTTCTGGGAATTTTGACCAAGAAAATGAAGAGTCTTTCTTGCACATGAAGGTTTAAGAGATATGGGGCTAACAAGAGTTAAGGATATTGACCATTAATGTTAAGGTCAAAGTTGTATGGAAGAAAATATTTGAGAAAAGGAAATGTCAGATTGCATTTAGGTTTTGCCAGAGAGAAAAAGTGAAAGAAAGAAAATGAAAGGAAAAAAGCAGTCTTACAGTTGTATGGGAATTCTAGATGGGGTTACAAAACCACTCCTGGGTTTGCTTAAAAACTTGACAAATTATTTTACCATCAAATTCCCTCAGATTTGAAATACAATGTTGGAGCTGATCGGGGGTTTATAAACAGGAGTCTCAATCAAAATCCCTTGAGGAGCCTGCAGTAATGCAGAGGTTGAGATGCCAACTTAATTGGTCTGCTTGGAACAGCTACAAGTTACTGTCTAGCAAGATTCACTTTTTCTCTGGCAAGTTCTCAGGTAATGAGATTAGGAGTTTAAGAAAATTACTTTCCCATCCAAGGAAATTAAAATGATTCTTAAAATACTAAATCTTCTTATCAAGTCTTAGGATAAATGTGAAGTCCCTAAAGCAGCAGTAAGGAGCCATTGAAATGCACCAAACAGCAAAACTAGGAGAAGGCCCATTGTATCCACGTCCCAGGTGTTTGCTCAGCCCACTACACACAGTTAAAGTGAGAATCTACAACATGGTGAAGGGAATAAAGTATAACCTAAGGGGGGAAAAAAAAACACCTCATCTCTTAATTCTCCTAGATTTCAACTTTCTTTTATTTTTAATTTATTTTTTAGTTGTAGATTGACACAATATCTTTATTTGTATGTGGTGCTGAGGATGGAACCCAGTGCCTCGCATGTATGAGGCAAGCTCTCTACCACTGAGCCACAGCCCCAGTCTCCCTGGACTTCAACCTGCTAATATTCAAAGCCAAGAGTGCTAACTAAGTACCCTTAATATTCATTTCCATTTCTAAAGATCTGTTAGACCAAAATGTTATGTTTCTTTAAATGGTATTCCTCTCTCCATGTAATTACTTTTTACTGTTAAGAATAAATTTAACTGCTATGTTGGTAGGTAATTTTAAAAACTAAAATAAAAGCACACTTGAATGGGAACCATATGCTTCACAAAAGCCTTTTTGATCCAGGCGTTTGCAGGAGTTGCACGATTGCATTCATCGGCAGTAAACCAAGTCAGTCCACTGGTGAGTAGCTACTGGCTTGCCCCATGGTCACTCACCAGCCTGCACTGGAAACTCAGTCCTAGCAAACAAGGACAGCTCTCATACCTGGCC